AAAATATGTTTGCTGCGTAAATCAGACGGACTTACTGAAAATGCTAATTCATTCTCTGCCAGCAGGAGGTGCTTTAAAGCGGGAGAAACAGAGGTTTCCCCAGTAACGGCTGTACACAAATCAGCACTGAGCTCACAAACGCTGCTTTATCAGGCATATAACATGCAAGATGAAATGAAAATGACATCGAAAATTTTCTAAAGATAGTCTTCCTTCAGAAATACAGTGAAATAAAAACAGGTGCTCATGTTTATTCAACGAAGCCTTTTGGAAAATCTGTAATTTTTGATATTGTGGCGAGCGCCACAAATAAATACATGTATGGGAAACACATCCCACAGCACAACCACCTGAGCCCAACTTCAGTCTACTCATCACCTTAACTTTAACTGCGTTTGTAGCCGGTGTCATAGCCAGACTGATAAACAAACACAGACCGGAAGTTAACTTCGCCCGATGAAACCGTCTATATAAAAGTTGTGAGTTGTGCAAAAAAAATAGTATTTCTGGAAGAGACCACTACTGTAAATGCTTCTATTCGCCTTGTTAATTGAATACGTTTATACTCTTTCTGTCTTTTATTATACACACATACTTTTCAGCAGAGCCCATGTGTTGTAGCCTGACAGCCGTTGCTGTGTGTGAGTGTGTGAGATGAGTTGAGGGCTTGGAGACGTGGCTGTGTGTACGTGGTGCGGCAGTATTTGCCAATATAAACTGAAGACTAGTGAATATGCCTGCTTTTTCCCAAGTCTCCTGTTCATGAAATGAAGACACGGTACTTCTCACATATGGAGCACATTCCTTCACTCCAGGCGAACACAGTCCACTTCCTGTTTTAGTAAAGGCGGGCGTACACGGTGCGATTCTGAAGGTCGGAACGTCGTGAGCTCTGGCACATGTCACGATTGAGTTTATCCGAAACGTACGGAGGCTCACACACGACACGAATTTACTACGATTTTACAAACTCTGACGTAAGCATTACGTTTCGTGCCATTCGTAAAAATATGGATTCTGAGGACGAAATAGTTTTCTTTGTGGCAGGCGGCTTG